GGGTTATTTTTGGAGGATCTGAAGGGTTTGCATTTTTTTGCCTGTGGAATACAGTTTATTTAGAGCAGAAAGATGGAGAGGGGCAGCGGGCTGCCCGCACGCCCTGTGTCGCCCTGAAATGGCACCCTATGGGCTGTGCACATGCCAGGTGTCCCCGTGGGTGCCGAGGATGGTGGCACCAGGGTGCAAGGCAGCGGGGAGGTGGGCGCCAGGGACGCCACACGGAGCTGGGGCCCTCCTGCCCTGCAGGGACGCAGGAGCTGCATGGGGAGGTCAGGGGCTCAGCTTGCTTCTCTCCTGGGGGATTTTCACTGTGTAGGCAGTGCCAGCCCACGGTGTCTCCAAGTGCAATCATAGCCTATGGGTGTCCCCAACTGCAGTCACAGCCCGTGGGTGTCCCTGAGTGCAATCACAGCCTGTGGGTGTCCCCAACTGCAGTCACAGCCCGTGGGTGTCCCTGAGTGCAATCACAGCCTGTGGGTGTCTCTGTAGTACCAGCCTGTGACATCCCTGCTTGCAATCACAGCTTATGGGTGTCCCCAGCTGCAATCACAGCCCGTGGGCATCCCTGAGTGCAATCACATCCTGGGGTCACAGCCTGTGAGTGTCCCCAGGACTGCAGTGTCAGCCCATGGATGTCCCCAAGTTGCCATGCCAGCCCCTGAGGTGCCAGCCAGCCGTGCAATGTCCTCTAGCTTGGGGACAGCTCTGGCCGGAGCAGAGGCAGGTCCCAGGCCCTGGGGATGGGTGTCTGGTGGTGTCCCTGGGGCACATAACAGCACACTGCGAACCCATGAGTGTCCCAAGTGCCACTGGGCTGTCCCTGGGGAAGTGCCACCAAAAATGTCCCTACTGTGGTGCTCCAGAGTGTCCCTAGCACAGTGCCACTGGGGTGTCCCTAGTGCAATACCCCTGGGGTGTCCCTAGTACACTGCCACCAGGGTGTCCCTAGTGCAATACCCTAGCACAGTGCTCCCCTGGGGTGTCACTAGTACAGTGCCCCCGGGGTACCCCTAGTGCAGTGCCACTGGCGCGTCCCTCACTCAGTGCCACCAGGGTAACCCTAATGCAGTGCCCTGGGGTGTCCATAGCACAGTGGCCCTGGGGTACCCCTGGTACATTAGCCTGGGATGTCCCTCACCCAGTGACACTGGGGTGTCCCTCGCCCAGTGACACTGGGGTACCCCTAGTGCAGTGCTCCGGGGTGTCGCTCTCACAGTGCCCCAGGGTGTCCCTTGCACAGGAGCGTCCCTCAACTGGTGCCACCAGGGTACCCCTAGCGCAGTGCCACCGGGGTGTTCCTAGTCCAGTGCCCTGGGGTACCTCTCGTGCAGTGTCACTGGGATGCCCCTAGTGCAGTGCCCTGCGGTGTCCCTCTCACAGTGCCCCGGGGTGTCCCTCGTACAGGGGTGCCCCTGGCACAGTGCCTCCGGGGTGCCCCTAGAGCATTGCCCCGGGACGTCCCTTGCCCGGTGCCATCGGGGTACCCCTCTCACAGTGCCCCGGGGTGTCCCTCGTACAGGGGTGCCCCTGGCACAGTGCCTCCGGGGTGCCCCTAGAGCATTGCCCCGGGACGTCCCTTGCCCGGTGCCACCGGGGTGTCCCTCGACGGTGCCCCCGTGGGTGCCCGGCGCCGGGGCTGCGGCGGTGTCGGCCGGGGGTGCCGCCCCCCCCGCGTCCCGCTCGGTGCGGCGGCCGGT